CACTGTGTGCGGGGCCCCAGGGCCAGAAGGGGAGCTTGTGGGCCACCACCGGCCACCCCTGCCTCTTGTCCCTGCTGCCTTTGTCTCAGGAAGGGCTGCTTCCCTGAGAGGGGCAGGTGTGGAGCTGCCCCTGGGTCAGCCGCCCAGGCCTCTGGGCAGGGGAGCCAGGGAGGGTCCTGCCAAGCCCTGGTCCCAGGCTTGGGAAGTGAGGTCAGGCCACCAATGAATGAATGAGCTGCGGGTGGAGTGAGCATGAGCCCAGGGAGTGAGGGAGAGCCCGCCCTGCCCCTGCCTGGAGCCAAGCCTGCTCTGTGCGAACTGGCCACTGAGGACCCCTTAGCCGAGGGGTGTGTGGGCTCCAAAGGGCTAAGGAAGGGCTCTCCCCGCCGCTGTGCCAGTGCCAGCCGCGTGGGGCGACCGGGGTGACAGCTTCCTGGGGAGAAGCATCTCTAAACTGTCCTGGTCGAAACCCTCCCCCCAAAGCCCTCCTCCGCTGCAAAGAACAAGCTGGAGCAGATGCTGGGAGCAGGTAGTGAAATATTAACCAGCAGTGAGGCCGGAATAAACAGCTACCTGGGGAGGTGACCCAAGCCTGGGGGCGGCCAGGAGCCCAGACCTCTCCGAAAGAGCCTTCTCCTTGGAAACTAGGCTGTGTGCTGAGTCTGAAAGCCCCACCATGCATGCTTGGGGTCTTCAGAGGAGAGAGCCCAGAGCCAGTGGTCAGGGGGGGTAGCCCCACCCTTCGTGTCCACTGTGGTGGGGACTTGGGGCCGGGAAGGCCACATGCAGGTGAATTAGACCTGGGACAAGTCCACCTCCCCCCCCCCCAGCCCAGCAGGAAGTGGGGTCCGCTCTCCCCAGGCCTGTGAGGACAGCCTCATGGGTGGCAGGTCCTGCCTCCTTCCTCTCTCCCCACCCACAACTGCCCTCGTTAAAATTAAATTTAGTCGGTTGCATCAGCCTTACCCCTGGTTGCTGGAGCCAGAGCAGAGTTCCCAGGGAAAGTTTCTGACAGGCTGGGCGTGTCAGACTTGCACATAGTCTGTGGTCAACAATGAGCTCGGTCCCCCCCCCCCCCCC